ACCTTTTTAATGCCGCGACCCCAACCGGTCGTACGTTGAGGACTAAACCGGTCGTAAGTCGAGGACTAAACCGGTCATAAGTCAAGGACTAAACCGGTCGTAAGTCGAGGACTACCCAACCGGTCGTAAGTCGAGGACTTTCCCTGCCCAGGAGCACTGCACATGCGTGGTTCTGCCCCCTGCGCCGGCCGAGGCGTAGCTGGCAAGCGGCAGAGACGGAGCAGGCCGACCACCGGCTGGCCCAGCCCAAGGGAGGTAAGGCACCCGCTGGAAAAGGGGAAAAAATGGCGGACAAAAAAATGGCGGACAGCCTTACTTGGCGACCCCCGTGAAATGGTCAATCGACCCCAAATGGGGTCCCGACCCACAGGTTGAGAACCACTGAACTACATTGTGCCCACAAAAAAAAAAAATCCATTGTGGCCCAAACTGTTTAACATAGTAATCTATTACACATGATCTTAATTGACTATTTAAACCTAGAATGCCATACAACCACAGAATTAGGGATCTAAGGACGTTTCATTGTAGTTTCCATAACAACCAACTTCAGTTCAGCAGGAAAGATCTGGAGCCGTGAAAGTCAAAGGGCCCACCGCTCGAAGCAAAAGTTTCCACCAGCTGAGCAACACCTGCAAAGGCCACCTCTCTGACACTAAAATAAAACATTAAAAAATGGCCTCCTGCCAACATCTTCATGTGGAAACAAGCTTGAAAAAGAAGGGTGGGAGGAAAAAGGAGAGAGAGGGAGAAATTAGCCAAAGTGGGGGAGGGGGGAATAAACGGTACTATAGTTTGGAGATACTTAAAAGAGAGAGAGAATGAGAAAACCTCCCACCAGTGGGAGTTTTAAGTATCTCTAGATTTAAAAAGCTCTGCTAATAAAACTGCTTTGTACCATAAGCCAGATATCTCACAGACCTTTGAAAACACAGGTGTAATTGTCTAGCTTTTCTCTTCTGTGGATCTCCTTTTAACTGAAACTCCAAAACAGTGCAGGATTTGTGGAGAGTTAAGATGGGAAGGCAGAACATTATCCTTTTCATGAAAATTATTTTTTTCCCTTTCCTAATTGATCCAACTATGAATCTTTAGATCAGGGGTAGGCAACCTTGGCTCTCTGGCTCAGGAATTCTGGGAGTTGAAGTCCACGAGTCATAAAAGGGCCAAGGTTGCCTACCCCTGCTTTAGATTATGCAACTAACAGGATCAATGGGGCCATAAGGACTGAAATTGAAGTATTAATTTGGCCCTCTCTCATTTAAACTGAGTTTGTCTACAAAGTTTGGCCATTGGGGATCAGAAGTCGCAGTGCTGCAAAAGCTGCTGTTCCTAATTAGCATGGCTGAGCAGGGCTGCTAGAAGTTGCAGTTCATCAGAACTAGTTTGATCTAGTGGTGAAGGCACCGGACTAGAGGCCAGGAGACTGTGAGTTCTAGTCATGCTTTAGGCATGAAAGCTGACTAGGTGACTCTCAACCCAACCCACCTCACAGGAGTGTTGTTGTTGAGGGGAAAATAGGAGAAGGAAGGAGCATTGTGCATGTTTACCACCTTGAGTAATAAAGATGGAAAATGAAATCTAACAGCTAACATTACCTATCTCGCTCCTATTATACAGTAATTCTTCACTCATGGAAAAACTTGGGAGAAAAAAATAAATACAATCTAAAGAAGAAATAAAAGGAGCTATAGAAGTTCAAAGGGGGAAAAAAAGTACATGACCATCAAAGAATTGAGAAAAACTCATGATAGTTTTTGGGCAAGATAATTGTGTGTGGAAAGAATGATCTAGCTAGCATGTTCATAAAATCAATCAAAACTAGCTTATTTTTATATACAATTGGAAAGGCATAGGAACTCTTTCTAACTATTTGATCAATTCAGCTGAAGCAGTTATTAAAAAATAATGAGAAGGAAGGGATAAAATCCAGGTGTCTTACTAAAGGGGAGTTTGATTCCTACAAGGCTGCAAAATATGCTTGGTATAATCATGACAACTCCAGTCATAAAACTTTACTGTAGAAAAACCATAAATACCCCGAGTATATGATCCAAGTTTTGCCTTCAAGAGGAATTGAGTTTTAAGACCCAGGAGATTCCATGCTCAGATTAATGTGATATTTGTAGCTCAGGTGCTAGTATCTTATGAAACATAATATTCCATTACATGAATTAATTTACAGCACAGTCTCTACATTTTAACAGAGAGATATATTCCATTAGACATATTGAACTGCAGCTTCCTTTTGATTGTCTTCCAGCTTCTGTTCAATTCACTTTCAAGACTATTTGATGCACAAGTAACTAAAGATAGCAATCTTTCATAGTGATTTATTCCCGCTATTCAATTAGTCCCTCAGTATAGGCGAGCATAATTTATTTGCTAATAAGAAGTTAGAAGCTGGCAAGGGAAGAAGCTACATACCTGCTTTTCAGTGCAAATAGGATTAACCTCTCAAAATATAGTAAATTCAAACTCTCAATGGCATAGATAATGATGGGCAAGCTTCACTCTGCCTATGCACCAACTCTACTTTTGTGAGCTGAACTGATTCCCAGTGAGATTTGGGTGTGCTGCTCATCTTCTACAATCAATCCAGTCAGGCTTGTTTTGGGGCTACATACTGTAAATGTCATCTTGAGAAGCTGCCCTTCTATGTTGCAGCAACCACATTCTGAAACAGCATCCCTAAAGACATTTGTGTCCCTAACCTCAGCTTTGGATTCGGGCAGGGGTGTCCAACCTTGGCAACTTTAAGATTTGTGGACTTCAATTCCCAGAATTCTCCAGGGAGCATACAGGGATACTCTAGATTAGGGTTTCTGGCAGGTCCTTTTACTTTGGGCCCGATATGGACGAACTGGGATTTTTGAAATGTTATTTTCCTTTTTTTTCAATTTATAATTTTGTGAAGCCATTCAGAGTCATCTTTTGGGTTGGGAGGCCTAGGAACTGGGTAAATAAATAATATGCATATGTTTTATAATTCTTTTATTGGATCTTTGTTTTGAAAAAATGCAGCCATTGAAGGGTAAAACAAAATGGGGGTGGGAAAAAGATTGTTTGATCCTCTCCTTTTGGGCTATTTTCTCAGCAAAAAAAGTCCCACTACATATTTTGTCAGGTGATGTAGAGAAAAACATGTTCCACAGCAAGGGTAAATAAAACTGGTGTGATGGGGGGGAGGGAGAGAGATGCTAAATTGGTGGCATGAAAATAAGTTCTCTCTGTTACGAAGGAAGGCATTGGAAAATTTATGTTTCATTCAATTTTACCTTTTTGGCTACAAATACATCATTTTTTCCTTCTTTCTCTCTCACATCTCACTTTGTTATAAATCTCTCTCCACTTATTTGTCATAATTTTACTTCTTATCGAAGGTTCTGTCAACATGTGCCAATCAGGGAAAATTATTAAAACAATAAATACATAAATTCTGACAACCAATTAAGAACCTCTTAAAATCATGTGGTCAGGAAGCAATCTAAGCCAAACCAAAATCATGGTAAACATATGTCACGATTGAGATTCTTTTCTGTTTTTCAATGAATAGAAGGAACCATTTTAATATTTTAATGGACGGTGAATTCAATCTTCCTGTAAGATACAGAAAATGATGTATAGAGAGAGAGGGTAAAAACTGTTCATTCATAACTTTATGCTGGAATTACATCAGTAAATTCCAGATTGAAAGACTATAGCAGGTGGAATTGCCCTTCTCACTCAAGATTATTTAAAAAAGGGAGCCTTTGATGTGGAAAAACATTTCCCTGGATGATTCCACTTCTTCATACAAAATTGTATGACTTCAAGAGAATTAGCCTATGTGATCTTTCTTTTATATCTTAGGGTCACATTCTGTAGAGCTGTGTCTATTCCTCACGTAATTTTTCAGGTTAATAGACCTGATCCAAAATACTTACTATGAGATTTTGATGGATGAGACATCACACTATAGTTTTCTCTACAGAAAAGTAACAATGAAAATTAAGGATTTCTTTTTAAGCAAAAGTGTTGTCCAACAAAACAGAACATTTTATGGACTGGCACATTCATTCACCAAGTCCACCAAAGACTGTCCCCCACTATTTCTAAGCTCAACAACACCAAAAGTATGTATTTTAAAAGCACAGGAAAAAAGCATACTGTGTATCATATTTGGGTAAGTACACACAATAGTTGTTGCAGATTTCTTTAATAGTTTTGCTATTTAAAAAAAACTAAGGAAGATTGATTCCTTACTGGTGACACATTTTTGTAAAACTGTCATACAATATTATATTCATTATTTTGGAAAATGTCCCTCCAGGTGCCAGATGTGACATTTTCCAGAGATTGTTTGGGGCTTGTATAACTCTTGTATAAGGCATTAACAATGTTTGTTTCAGAAATTGGGATGTTAAATAATGAAGTTGTAAGGAGTCATCATCAGACATGATATCACAGCCTAAAAATTCAACCCAAACAACCCGTCTGGTCAGCTTTACTAACAGCACGTCCTGGCCAATGATCAATGTGTAATTTATTAAACAGGTGACCGCTGGACTTTTCCTCAGAAACATGCCATGGTTTCACGCTGGACTTAAGCTTGTGCCTTTACCAAAACCTCAGCTCAAACTTTCTCCTGAGCACAAGGGGCTCAACTCAACAAGAGTTTTGCTGGCAGACCACACAGCAAGCAAGTTTCTTGCTAATTTCCTACAGTCCTCTTGACCTTTGACATTACAGTTACTGCGTCTTCTAAAGCTAGTGATCTGTCAGAGGCGCCATCACTGATCAAAGCACGAAGCCTGCCGTAGTCAATAAGCACACGGTAAGGGCAATCCTATAACCTCCCTCTACCATCACCCATGTTAAACAAAAATTCAAATAAGCTTCCACACGGCCCTTAAGAGATTTTTGCTGAAATTAAAATGTATTTTTCTCTGTCCATATCCATCAGTCGCATATGAAACATTATGAACATTACACAAGATCGGGATATTTCAAATACTTACAATGAAAAGTCTCTGAATCCCCAAAGCAAGTCTTTCTGTTTTCACTTTCCATGTCAGAGGCACAGGAGAGTTCAGGAGGAACACCAATGGTTTCTGATGAATATGCATCGAAGCAATTGGATTCAAATGCAAAACAACCTGTAAGATATAAACAAATAAGTCAAGACACTGGAACTACCACTTGATCCAATTGAGAATAAATTAATAATAATTAGCACTTCTGCTGTAGGCGCTTAATTACTTCAGGAGCCACCTGGTAATTTGCACATAGACTTGCTCACAGATTTGAAATATTTTTTGTATTTTCTATAGAAAGAGTGAGGCTAAATCTCCAAGTCAACAGCGCTTAAGGATTACTTAACTGATGAACGAAATGTCAAGACTAGCATCATTTGGCATGCTCATGTCTTTTCCAGGCAAGAAGATAGAAACAGAAAAATGTGGAAGAATTAATACCTTCTTTGTGTTTTCCTCTCTCCAGCCCTCCTCCTCCCAACAGTGGCAAGATTGGACATGCAAGTAAGGCAATGTGAAGAGCAACGGGATGGAAGCAAAGGATGTGCTACTCTCAGGGAGAGGCCCCTGAAGGCATCTTGCCAAATAAAAATGCACCATGCCCCCAAAACATGGAATTTTCTCAGTTATAGGCAGAAGTGGGGGGCATGAAGGTGGGAAGGTACACTTAAGAACACATTTAGCTCATGACCGAGTTAAAAATTGAAACTGAAACTTCAAAATCATAGTTTTTACACGCTAGGCATAGTTCTCCTCAAGGACCAGGGCTGGCAAGAACATCCTTATTTGAAACCACTCAATCTGCTAATTAAAATGAGCAGCAATAGTAGAGACACTAACACCTTAATCTTAAGCCCTTTGACATAGTAAAGTAGGACTTAAAAGGGGGGCATTGTCTTATGTCATGCAAATGTCAATAACATAATATGATGAAAAAGAGGGGGAAAGAACAAGCAATACAACATTCTGAAAACATGTCAGACTCTACAGAAATGTTTCTCAATCTTGCTGGCTGTGGAATTCTGGGAGTTGAAGTCCACACAGGACAAAAGTGCCAGGATCGAGAAACAATGCTCTTTCGGTTCGCAGCCTGGTTCCAGATTTTCAGATTTCCTGATTCCCATTTTCAGATAGTTCCCTTGAATTTGCAATCTTTGATATTATAGATTCCTGCAGGATCAAGAAGCACATGCATCTTGTAACCCTGTTCAGGACACAAGAAGAGAATATCATTTTTGCAAAGCGTAGGCTGAAGAGTCTGTAGAGAGGAAATCTAGACGTAACATAGAAAACTGTAAGAGGTGGTTTGCTAATTAAAAGAACTATCAGAAAGGATGTTTTGCATCTGTAAATGATAGTGTGTGGCCCAACTGTGAAAAAGACCTGTTCAAGGGTACAAAAATCTTCCGTTCTGGCAATTATCATAAAAGCTCTCCTTGTTTGTAAATCAGGAGATGTGTTTATTTTGTTTTGGAAATTTGTTTCGCCTTATCAATGTTTGGAATACAGGACATACTAACCCCCACATAGTGGCATGTTTCCTTTAAGGGCCTGTGTAAACAAGATTTTTTTTATTCAACTTCCTTCTTTGTTAAAGAATTAAAGATACACCAAATAAAACAGGACACAATCAGCAGATAAAATGAAAAGTCTAAGGACAAGGATAGATTTGGGAGTACATGAGGCATGCCACAATTAATGAGTCAGGATTATGCCAATAAAGGCAAGTTAATTAAAAGTCAGGGCCACTTTTAAGCAAAACATGTGATAAAGTGAACCTTGGATTATAATATGTCAAAATTTGGATAGAAAAATTCTATGTTTGTCTACCTTTTAAATAGGCTTTCACATGTAGAAAAGTTATGTGTCAAAGAAAAGAACAGAATTATTTTTCGTAACTCTCTAGTGTTCTATATCCAGGGTGTTTTTTATATAAGAAACATCAAATCGCACAATCCATTAATCTATATTCTGAAAATGTTTTCTCCCAGAAAGATCATAATTCCCTTTTTAAAAATCAATTTACCAGCACTTAATCAAAAGGAAAATGCAAGTTCAGCATTATAGTTAAAACATAAATGGCCATGCCTTTAGAAAAGTCTCATTTTTTCTTTTTGTTTTAGAAAGGACACTGACTTTATTTTGTACCTTAAACATGGGCATTTATATATTTCAGTGCAAACTTATACAATTAGGAATTGCTTTCAGAAATGTTCTACAAACATAGACAATATCCAGTTGGTAAAGACGGCAACAAATTTGGTCTCCCTGGAGATGCCAAGGTTGTGGAAGGCTGAATATTATTACCACAGCAACCAAATTACAAAAACATTCTGAGGGCTCATGCCCATTATTCTGGCAGAGTAATTTATATTACAAAGAACAGGCTAAGGCACAAATACTGGAAAATGATTAAAGTAAAAAGAAAACCAACAAACCCTTTTAGCTTTATATAACTTTAGGACTTGAAATCCCACACAATACACACTCCCACACACAATGTCATTATAAAAGTAAATATCTAAGGTTTTGAAATGCTGAACCACCTTGCTAGTGTGAAGGACTCCAGATTAATTCACAGCATAGTTTTTTTTTCTTTTCAAAACAGCCATTACAAAATTGTGCTAATAATGCAGGGTAAAATATATCAAATTACAGTGCCCATACTGAGACAGCTGTTCAGAAAAGCATGGGAGAGGAAAAAAATGAGTTCTAAGCCTGAGAAATGTCTGTCTTTAAATCACAAAATTCAAACATTATGTCTTGAAGGAATTCTTATATGAGTCTGATTCACTGGCTGGATTAAAAACTAGTCCATTGCACCTCTAAAGTAATCTACTTAATGTGTTGCTTTCTAGATGTGTTGGACCACAATTAATTCCAATAATCTCAACCCAACATGGTTCACTCAAGGAAACTGTAGTTCAATACACCAGGATTAGACTTTCCAAATTACCTTGAAGAAAGCTGTTAAGATGATTGTCACAACATTATAAATACAATTGCACCACGTTTTGTTTAAAGAAAATTTAGAAAATGTATATGGACATCCAACTATGAGCAAAGAGCTCAAGGAGAAATCCAAAATTATAATTAGAACCATAATGTCAACCAGAAGAAAGCAACATTTGATCTACAGTAGCATGCAGACGGGAGTCATCCAACAGTCATTCCATCTTAGGTTCAAGCTATCCTTCTGCCTCACTTTGGTGGTACCACTAGAGTAGCATTTCTCAACTTTGGCAACTATTAAAAAAATGTGGACTTCAACTCCTCAAATTCCCCAGCCAGCATTGGAATTGAAGTCCATACTCCTTAAAGTTTCAAAGTTGAGAAACACTGCCCTCGAGATAGGACAAACTGAGCTACATTGATTGTTGCATTGACCTGTCTTGAATCTCCTCGGGCAGATTTCACTAGTATTTCCCACCTGAGGCTGATATTAACTCAACAGCATGAATAACACAGCTATTGTAGTTTTCAGAAGCTGCATTTGATCCAGTTTTTTTCAAATGCTGATGTCTAAAACATGCTCCTTCACCAATATGCTAAATATTTCTGGTGTTGTTTAGCTTCTATTTTTATTGAACAAAATTTAGAAACACAATTCTTTACTCATAGATTCCATATATAATATGTTTCCAGGTCTTACAAACAGAGCAGAATAAGTAATATTTAGATAAAAATCAAATGAGCAAGAACCTGAAACAAAGCTAAACCAACAATTAACAAAAGCATTCTGTTTTAGATAATGCCCCAGATCCATATAATGTTTCCTACAACAGTAGCACTCAGCTATGTTCCAATTAGGCAAAATTGTGGTTGGCAATGCAAAACCATGAAATTTGGCTGATGTTTAGGCCCAGTCAAACCAAGACAGACATATACTTCATAATATGGATTGAGCATCTTTTGAAATACAATATGTACACAAACTTCATATGTGTCTGTCTGCATTATCAGCTCCCTGCTTTGCCAAACAGCAAAACAAGTGATAGTGAACAGGTCAACCAGGATATAACTGAGAGCAAAAAAACCTGGCCTTGCTTCTTAACATCAAACTTACATAAAAATATCTAGAATGAAGATTTAACTCCCAGTTGCTGAGGAAATCCAGCCAAGAGAGTTTTCCATCTAAGCCATTTTGAGAAGGACAGGGGGAGGGGGAACAGAAAAATGGGAGGGGAAAAAAACCAAGAATATTTTTCAAATAGCCGTATTCAGTCTGGGGACTATTAAAACCAATAATTGTAGGGCTCTACAAAGGTTTTGAATACATGTCATGTCCTGCATTTATCTCCTACTAGACAATGTGTCGTAAATAATTTTTGTTCAATTATTTACATCCAGATGCTGATGATTTATTAATAATACACACGTAAATCTTAAAATTGGTTCTGGGATCAAGTTACTGATTTCTGTACATTTTGAGGCCTAAACAAGAACAGTATGAAATCTCCCAGGGTTACAGTATATCATAGAATTATCTGTGGTCTGTTCTCTAAATTCCATTCCTTGCTTATTATTTCTTTAGACACCCAGTCCTTTCACTCCATCCCCCCTTCCCCTGCCCAGCAAAATGAAACTATCTTAGGATCATTATTTATCTCTCTCTCCACTATCCCAGCACATTCAAACCCTACCATCCTAGTCAGAGAACTAGAAAATCCAACCTGCTAGCTATATTATGTTTTGAAGGGGGGCAGAAGGTATATCAGTATAGAAAAGAATATACCATGTGACAATATTTATATTCCTCCATAGGTGACAGCAATAATATGCATACATAACTTTTAAAAGGCACATAACTTCTAACCCGTAACTTTTACTAAGGAAGAAATCCACATTTGACAAGTGTTTGTTGGACAGATAAGTTGCAGAATAACAAGCTGAAAATGCACAGCAACGGAATGGGTAAACAGGTGCCATTTCAGGCTCTTTAACATGCTAACTGTGGAAAGATGGGAGAGCAATATAGAACTATTTTATTTTTGGTCTGCATGTTCCCCAGATCTCAAAATATGGACTTTTTCTTGTGGAATAGTTACAAGATAGCTTGAGGATGAAACCAAATAGTATCGCACTTCAAAGTTAAGATTTTTTTTTTCTGTTGCTGCTGTTAT